GAGATGTTTATCCTGTATTTGATTGTGTTTATCTGCAGTTAGTTATACGAATTCAGTTATGAGATGAAATCGGATAGGGATGAAATTGTTTAGGGATAAACGGGTTTAAGAGTTTTAAGAGTTTAAGAGTTTTTAAGAGTTTTAGCCAAATGCTTTATAATATAGTAATATACTCTTCGCTTGTATTTTACATCCTTAAACGATATTGGTACATGTTATTTGTTCAGTCAATTTGGAGATCAAACCAGATATCCGGAAGTATGGAAAGAGCAGCTGTGAGAAGCGAAAGTTAGAGATTAATATATGAGGATCACACGAACAATGTCTCGTGTTCAATCCATGTATTTAGGGCAGAGGGACACAATATTTACATTGAAATGGCCATGAGAACGGTGGCTGATTGAGTCACTAGTTCTCATCACTTGGGTAGCAACAGTATATTGGTAAATAACACTGTCACTTATAATGATAAATGAAATTTATTGCCAACGTAACATAAAGCAAAGAGCCACGCGCTTGGTACATTGTTCAGACTTCATACTATGAATTATTTAACCAGACTGTCAGTTAAATGGAGTAATTAATTAATTAAGCGTGTAAGGGATTCAAATGATAAATGAGCTTATGTGTTTTAAAATTTATACCACAATTGTATGCGAGTATCTAAAGCATCTCTCAATCACATTCGTTGCTCATATTTGTTTCGTATTGAAGTATACATTGGCATTTTTGGTCGATGACCATCAAACTCTTTCCGGGTAATACATATATGGAACAAGAAAGCCATTCGCATTGGAATTTCAAGAGTGAAGCAAGTAATAAGAGCCATAACCAATGTTTGACATCAGGTCGGGCTAGGTTGACCGTAATTGACTTGTGCTAACTTTTGGCATAATAGACCGTCCATGGAATAATATGGTGTATATTTTGTAGGTGGCTACTTAGAAGCTATCTCTAGTTGATCTACGTTAACACGTGAGTTTTTGTGAGACTTTAAATGAGATATATATATATATATATATATATATGTGTGTGTGTGTGTGTGTGTGTATGTGTGTGTGAGAGAGAGAGAGAGAGAGAAAGAGAGAGAGAGAGAGAGATAAACTATTTGGACATGTTTGTGATATGAGTGATCACGTGGAGTTTCGTATGCTACATATGCGATGTTGAATGTGTTTATGTTTGACATGTACACAGAGCGGCAGAGGCACGTGGTTTATGCATATACTAATTGTTTATGGGTTTCAAACATTTTTAGCATGCTTAAATAAAAGTTAGATTCCATATTGCACGTTATGGGGTGTTTGTATGGTACGAGACTCACATTCACATGTCACATATAAGGGAGGCACGACTCAAAAATAGTTGATTGGTCGAGGGTGAACCACACCAAAGAATGTGTGTGAAGTGGTGGTCTAAACCAAATGAACCAGTATATTAGATCTTCTTCAGTCAAATTTTTTTTTTTTGAAAACAAAATGCATACTATTTTTGTTTAGAGTTCAATTATTTTTGAAAACATTTGTTCTATAACAGTCGATTAATAAAAATGTAATTTAATTATTTTTATAATTATTATTTTTATATAAATAATGGAATCCAATTGCATTCTAAATCTTACAAACCAAACACACCAATGATTTCAAATCACTCGAAATCCAAATCCCTCCATGAAATCCAAATCCTTCAAAAACAATCCTACAAATCATTTTCATATATTTCATTCTTACAAAAACGTTCGAGTTTAGTATTCTTTTCTTTACCATATGAATTATATAATTTTCGTTATATTTTAATTCAAAAAATGGTTATTTCTTGCATAAATCATCAATTGTGGTTGAGATGATCATTAATCCATGTGCTCAGTTGTTCTTTTTGTCATCTCGAAAATATGATGGATTATTTATGTTAGTTACTATAATCATATCAAGAAGAAATTAATGTGACTGATATTATTGTAAGAATAGTAACGATCATGATGAAACCCATAATGTCGATATCACGATTAGACTTAAATAGAACCGTACCTTTGAAATATAGAATTTAACTACTCATATACTAAGGGGTTGTTTACCAAGTTTTTTATTAAGTCATGTATAAATAAATTTGTCCGTCCGGATAAATTTGTTTGTCTGGATAAATGGGTGTTGTTGTTTACTTTTTTTTATCTGAATCAACAGTCTGAATAATATAAATGGCCGATTTACCCCCCCAACATTAATTATTTGAACATCAAAACAAAAATTTATAAAGAGGCCGAAGATGGGGTGTCTCATATGGTAAGAAGGCGGTGCTTTAAATAAAGGGTAGGGGTGTCATTTTTGTGGTTGAATGGGGATAACACACCATTTCTATATGTGCGATTAAGCCATGTTCTGTGCGAATAAGCCGTAAGTAAACAACCCAAATGAGCTGTGCGAATAAGCCAGATAGACAAATAAGCATAATTAAGCCGCAAGTAAACAACCCCTAAGACGAAGCCTAAAGGGATTGGATACAAGATTGGTCCTTTTATACCGATGTTGAATTCTCGATGTTTGCTTTAATGGGTGATAAATCATTAAATTACTTGAGTTATAAGACTCGTGTTATAATCATGCTAAATGGGAGAAAGATATAGGATAAGGTTGGTTAATATGTTGGACATTTGATTACGATGAAATTCAAGTTGAATTGTTTCCAAATGCATTTGAGTTGAATAAAATATGTATCAAGTGAAACCGATTAGGTGGTTATGGGTCTGTTTTTACGTATGGTATATGATTCTATCGATTTCCAAAAGTAGCAATCAGTTGTTATCAGATTTGGTTTTTATATTTTATATTTCTTTATCAAACCTAATAAACATTTGAAAGCATAAATTATGATATATTTAATAACAGACTGAATTGCGGATTTGGCCCATGTTTTGATTTTTTTGTGATTAGGGTCCTTATGATATGTTTATTATGGATTTGGTTTTTGTGGTATTTAATTTGTCTTGGTCATGGTTTCTCTGACTAACCCGCTATAAACCCCCGTTAATTTGCTTAAATCAAGGGTCATTTTAGTTGTTTTGCTTTTTTTTTTATAATCTTTTTCCTATAAAAAATTAAAAACAATATTTCTACACACACACACATATATAGGTTGGGTTCACGAGAAACCAAAGGTTTTTCGTGAGACCCGTAAAACCAATTTATGCTCATTGATCAACTTTATAAGTTAATGATCTAATGGTCTAAAGTTGTACGGTGGCAATTTTGTGATTATGAATGTTCAGATTGTAGATCTAATCCAAGAGTTGAGAATTGGTCTTACAGGTCTCACGAAAAACCTTCGGACTCACATGATCCTAAGTGTGTGTATATATATATATATATATATATATATATATATAGGGGCCTATTCAAGGGAGAACTGAGTTGTTTGTGGTAACTGTGAAAACCAATATTAACCACAAATCAATAGATAAATTAGGAAATTTATAAATTTGGTAATTTTAAATTAAAATCTTAATGCTAGGATATTTTTGGTATTTTAAAACTCTCCTCTCTTCTCTCTCCGGCCACCGTCCTCCGGTGATACCACTATGATACCACTGTGATACATAAAAATATTGACTCTGTTAAACAAAAGATACATTGTGATACCTAATCATATATAAGATGCATAGTGATACTACTGTGTTACATCTTCGATCGACCACACAAACGACATCAATGTGATACCCAAGCACATATATGATGCATTGTGATACCATTGTAGTATCACCGGAGAACGGTGGCCGGAGAGAGAAGAGAGGAGGGAGGAAAGTTTTAAAATACCAAAAATATCCTTGCATTAATATTTTAATTCAAAATTGTCAAAATTATAAATTTCTTAATTTATCTATTGATTTGTGGTTAATATTGGTTCTCACAGTTACCACAAACTAATTAGTTCTCATTTGATTAGACCCCTATATATATATATATATATATATATATATATATATACTTGAACGTATTTTACTTGAAAATGAGTGTATTTTTCTCTATTTTTTGATCATCTTATATATACATGAAAATTTAAAATATCTATTGCATCTATTTCTATAATAAGCATGGGTGATTCATTTTTCATAGCATGTTCATATTACTCTCCGTGACAAAGAGACCATGAAAACCATACGGAACTCGCTGAGGCAAGTCCACAACGGCGACAATCTCAAGTGTCGGTGACTTGGCATCCATCACCATGAACTTTGACTCGTCGGTATTCTCATCATGCACATATGAAATTATGTACCCATCGTCCTCGTCGGCATCAGGGTTGTCTGGTTCCTTGGCCACAAAGAACGGCTCACCGCCAAAACAACCAGGGCCGAACATCCGGCTAGCCACTATGCACTCCTGGCGGTCAACTTCTGACAATGTGATGTCTAACTTGACGACCCCAGAAATCTTAGGCATTGGATCTCCAACTCCAAAATACATATACCTGCATGTTTTGTAATTTGTATCCATTTTAATGTTAGTATTTCTTAAGATAATGTTTCAAGACCTGTAAAGCATTTCATTTCACTAAAACAAAAATCGAGTTTATAGGACGTCAAAAGTGTTTAAGTGTCATAACAAATTATTTTATAGGATTTAAGTTTATTAGAACCACACATTTGTGTGTCCTGTTTAAAAAGTGTTGTAATAAATTTATCAAACATTTTTGAACATCCTAACAAGTATTTTGGACACTTTTAAAACAAAAATGTACCGTTAGCCATTTAAAAGACACTTTAAAAAAGTGTCATATAAATACTTATTCTATTACAAAGAAACTAATAAGAAACTTTGTTTCAAAAATGTCTTTAAAGATTTTTAAGATGTCAAAAAACGTCATATAAACTTATCATAACTTTTTTACATAAAACAAACAAATGTTTGGTCCTATAAAATTAAGTTCTATAAAATAGTCTATTAAAATACTTAAACGTTTTATGTTCTGTAAACCCGATCTCCATATTATCTTTGTAACTAATATGTAAGGTTTTATATTTTAAAAGAGAACATTGTAATCATTATATATATATGGGGTTGGGTTCACGCGAGACCAAAGGTTTTTCGTGAGACTCGTAAGACCAATTTATATTCATTGATCAATTTTATAAGCTAATGATCTAATGGTCTACAGTTGCACGGTGGCAATTTTGTGATTATTGAGAAATCTTATGGCAATTTTGTGATTATAAATGTTCAGATTATAGATCTAATCTAAGGGTTAAGAATTGGTCTTACGCGTCTCACAAAAAACCCTTGATCTCACATGATCCCAAATCCAAGTCTATATGTATATATATATTCATATCTTAGTACACATTTTTTTTATCAATTTTTTATAGTTTCAAAAATAGTTTACACATATTTTTATATTTATTTTAAAAAAATATACCTTGTAAAAAGCCCACGACATTATCTAAAATATATATCATTGGTGCTCATGCTTTGGTCTATAAATTTTGAGGGTTGATATTGTCACCCCTGCCGTAACATTCTACCCCTTGCACATGTTCCATCTCACACACCTCTTCTCTCAGACTCTCACATGTCACTCTCCTCACACACTCACACCCTACACAATCTCACCCCCCTCACATGCACCCATAGGAGGGGGTGGGGTTAGAAAAACCCTAAATTTTCTATATTTGTTCAATTACAATTTATAATAAACAAGAAAATGAATTAGCTAGGGTCCGTTTACTTAAATATTTACCCGATAAGTGTTTATCATTAGAAGTCAACACTATAATTAATTTTACCGTATAAGACTGTAGTACATCAAAATGATATTATATGCAACAATTTACCCGGTAAACACTTATCCGGGTAAGAGTCGTATCTTCATTTACCGAATAAGACTCTCCATCTTTATCAGTGCTCTTATCGGATAAGATTTTTAACCGTTGTCATGTTCATCCAATAAGAAAATTACGAGGTAAGCGTTCAGTAAACGACTCCTTACTCTATAAATAATTTAACTTGTAGTTTTGTTAAAAAAAGTTATAAATGTTAAAAAAAAAACTCGAAAATAAATTCTATTTAAGTTGAGCGGTCAAGATTTTTTAAATTATAAAAAACAATATATTAAAAAGCTATTAAAATTAAAATATTGATTTATTTTTATTATTTAATTTTTTTTTGGAATCTATGTAAAGATTTAAGTATTAGTTTGGACGGTTTTTTTAAGAATTTAACGTTTGGGTGTTTGAGATTGTTTATTTGAATTTGAAATAATTTATATTTTTTTATAAAAATATTTATCAATTTATTACAAGTCAAAAGAGGTTAAATTTTTAAAAAACTCTTTATTACCGGTTTGACATCGGTATAAGTTGTTTATCCAAACACTTAAAATGCTTATTACCGGTGTCATATCGGAATAAGTCAATAAACTGTTTTTATAAGCAATCCTAAACACCCCTTAATTTCGTAGCTATTTTCCATAAAATTAAAATGTAACCTGTTTTTTATAGCGACGAAACTCGGGTTGATGACGCCAAAGTCTAAATTTCTGGTTGAAAGCGGGTGCCTTGATACCATCCCACTCTTGAGATTAATGGTCACCTTCTCTAACGACGCATGGATCAGACTCATCCTCTCCAACGTATGCTCCACCGACAATATGTTCGGCGCCAACATCACCACCGTATCTCCGCCGTCCTCCTCCCAAGCGTTGACGGAATGTACGTTGTTCCACCCTGGAACCTCGAACCATTTCATCTCCGACTCATCCTTAGCGTACCTGGGGATAACCCCAACCCTAGATACTTTTCCGGTGTCCGCACTCACCGGGGACCCACCGCCGATCATCTCCATCGGGTTCATCCCGATTTGGATCTCCGAAAATATGGCGTAGTTTTTAGTGATGGCGAAGTCATGGAGAAAAGACGGGCTCGTCATTGAGAAGATCGGAACGTCGGCTTGTTTCTCTCCATTTTCGTTGAATCGGAAAAATGTTAGGAAAGGGGGCATTGGACCGTAGCGAAAAGCGAAAGCTTCTTTGGTTACCGGATCGATTTTTGGGTGAGCCGTCATGCTCATGAAAAGCTTTCCGTCAAAGTCATGGCGACCGAGAGTGATTATATCACCATCAGGCGCGAGTTTAACGGCATAGGGGAGATCCGACTCCCCTAATGCATAAAGCTTATTGCCAAAAAACGCCAAGCTGGTATTGGCCAAGCCAATACCTTTGGACGGGTCAAACTGGCCCGCCAAAAACCGTCCCGCGGTTACCGCCATGCGAGCCGCGGAGGCGGTCAAACCATTGAATCCCGAAAAAACATTCGGGATGATGGGAAACCCGGCATCCTTCTCTATGTTATACTTGTATGTCTTCACATACCGACTACATAACGTGGCTTTTCCTTTCGAGATACGAATCGCGTGTAGCATACCGTCGCCGTCGAAAAGGTGGTACGGACCCCGTGGTAGAAACTGCGGGTTCGGCCCATTACGAAAGTAAACGCCGTCAAGGCAACTCGGAAGTGCACCCTCACTGACCTCACACTCAGTCGGAGGGAGTTCGTTAACCGGCGAGAAGTTATCAGACAGGACATGTCTCGGGTCAACCGAAGCCCGTACCGGTGGATCTATAAACTTGTTTATGATATCATCAAACGCATTGAAGATGGTGGCAGGTAGTGATTGATCTACCGCCATTGATCTTCTCAAGCGATTCGCATTCTTCGTTGATGGTGTTGGCTTTTTCGTTCGTTCTTGACTGGACCTCTTGGTGGTGGTCGTGACGGTTTGTGGTTTTTCTTCGATTCGGACGGACCGGACACGAAACGGAGACGGTGGTGGCAAGGAGGACCGTGGCGACGGTGGTGGTTGAGAGACGGTGGAGTTTGGTGGTGGAAAGGTGGAAAGGAAAGATGAGGAAAGAGAGTCCATGATGTGGCCCTCGATGGCTTACCACAAGAGTTGGGACACATGTTTTTATAGCAAAACTTATGGTTATGGGTAAAAAGACCAATTTGCCCTTCAATAATTTATTTCCATAAAAACTATATATCGATCGTGCTTTAATTTGAACAAACGAACATGTTACATGTACAAGGTAAATAGGAAGGGGGACCAAATGACCAAGAATACTTGAATTCGCAACACGCTCAAATGATTCGGCGTAACAAGTAAGCCGATTTTGGAAATCTTGATCGAAATCAATGAGCAATGTTTGTGCAATTTCAAAAACCGATGAGTCGAATCAGTGAGGGACTGTTTGGTAATTACTGAATGGTTTGGTGCAGAATGATTAAGAGACTATAATGATATAATGAAAAATGAAATATAATTATTTGGTAATTGTGTACGATGAAATTAAGGCTCTTAATGGTTAAGGGAAATCCATGATACAAAATCATTCAGAGGGTTTTAGAACCATTAAAAGACATACTTTTTTTTGTCAAACAAGATTCACCTCTTAACGATTCAGAGGTTGTCTTTTAATGAAACTATTAAGAGGTAAACAAACAACCCCTCAAACCAAATAGGTTGGTAATTGGTAATTTGTCTGTTTGACCGTAAAATGAGAACGGCGATTTTTCACAAAACAACCCGACTTTAATCATGATGCGAACTCTCATATCCCTTTTATGTTATTTAAATTAGTGAAAGACAACGTGAAAAAGAGTTTCTTAATACAAACTACCGGCCAAAATTAACCAAACAACTATTAAGTCGAATTGAGACTTCCCAAACCGACCTTAACCAACTAAATTGCTTCGGCTTGTACCAAACCCTATTTACATGACTCTAGAGTGGGTTTCGGTGGGGTTTTTTTGCACTCGGATAAATTGTCGATGTCCATTGATTTTGGTATAAGTTTGCATCAATACTAGTCGTAATCATATCCTCCGATTTCTATGGATAAATATTTTTGCTCAAGAAATAATCGACTAGGAATTGGTTGGTCTTAGTTGTACTGATCCTCTACTCCACTCGATCATACATACATAATTTAGGGTATCACAATAATTGTATGTTTTAAGATAATGCAAATTTCAGATTTTAAATTTTACATGATCATGATCGTGATCGAGAGAGACAGTCAAGATATTATGAACAAACTTGTAGTTAAAAGAGAACGAGAGAATTAATTTTAATATTAAAATAAATATTAAATTTTAATTTGTGCTCCACAAATTGAGGTATCCAGAAAGATATTTAATTTGGGTTGGGTTGGGGACCAATTTCATTTGATTGGCATCATTTAAATCAATCAATTTCAATTTCAATTTCAATTTTTGAAAACAAAACCTATACACATTTATCCCTACCAACAGCATAAATTGGTGCTATCAACATCTCTCCTATTGCTTTTTGTGAATTATATTTCTTTTTATTGGGTTTTTGTTTATTTTTCTACGACAAATATGACTGTGACGAAAAAGAGAGTTAAGATGATAAGGGTAAATAAAAGATCTTCATTTTTGGATGTACATAAAGATGAGATGCACAAAAACAATCCCCGTTAGGGGTGTAAATGATGCTTGTCGAGCTCAAGTATCATTATACTCGACTCGAACTCGAAACCCAATTTCCAAACTCGAACTCGACTCGAAAACTCGCAAATGGTAAAAATCAAAGCTCGACTCGAACTCGATAACTATTTCTCAAGCTCGAGCTCGAACTAAGCTCGAACAACAACTCAAATCAAGCTTAAACTCGAACTCGAATTAAGCTCAAATCAAGCTCACCATTGAAATTTATAATATTTTAGTGTCTTTTCTTATAAATTTAAAACTTAAAGATTTTCTCTTAGTTTTTATAAAACTAAAGGGATCAATTTCAAACTTCATCATCAAATAGACAAAGTTAGAAATTTCATTCACCTCACTCTTTTTTTATAACATTTTTTCTTCTTTTCTTTACTATCTCTCTTCCTATGTGGGATAATCTCACCAACCCTTTTTATAGTTTTTCTTTGTTCTTTTTTAATTGCGATTTTAGTAAAAAATAATTCATTAATTTTTATAATTAAAAAATGTCTAATTTTGTTTAAATATCTAAAAATATAAGACATTTTTATTATTTATATTTTACAAATTTTATCATAAAAACTGATTATATTTTAAAACTAATTATATATAAAATAATCGAGTATTTCACGAGCTTTTCGAGTCGAGTATTGGGTAGTTTGACTCGACTCATTAATATGTCGAGTATAGCTCGAGTTCGAGCCAAGTCTATCCAAGTCGAGTGTTGACCGAGTCGATCTCGAGTAGTTCGCGAGTTGTCTCGTATCGTTTACACCCCTAATCCCCGTATCAAGTGTGATTTATGGATAAGGGTGCTAAAAATAACCAAAACCGAGTAACCCGTCCGAACCAAATGCGATTTGGGTTAAACGGTTTCGGGTAATATGGTTTGGTTAACCGAATAAGGATCCTTCTTCAGTTTGGTTTCCGGTTAATTTTTTTCTAATTCGGTTAAACCAAATTAACCGAATAACACGTTTTACTCATATTTTATATATTTCTTTTTTATGAAAATAAAACCAATTACATATTATATTATTATTAGTTTACGTATTTTATTGTCATATAATGTTTTGCTTGATATAGATGGTGTTTTATTTGGTCATATCGTGTTTTTTACTTGATATAATTCATCGAATGAAAAAAATAGTATCTTTTGGTAGATATTGATTTATGATAGATTATGTTTTTACTTAATACATGTCAACTGTTTTTTTTTTTTTTGATTAACCTGGATATCCAACCCGCTATGCGAGCCGATCAATCTCAGGGCGACCACCTGCTTTGCAGATAGCCCGGAGTCACCGCATTTGAATCTTCGTAGCCACAAGAAGATTTGTATTCCTCATTGGATTTAAACATGTGACCTCTTAGTACTTTTGACCTTTGGAGTCAACTGTTAAGTATATATTAGAAAGCAATGGGCATTGAATTTGAGAAAATTAGTTATGCAAGTGTCCAACGAAAAATATGAATTCTTATTTGGTTTTTCCAGCTACTGAACCACATAACCCGAAACCGAAAAAATCAAAAGTGATTAAACCAAACTTTATGTGGTTTGATTATTGGGTTGTTTTAAAAAAAAGTTAAAAACCAATTAACCTGAACCGAATAAACTGAAAACCGGTTTATTCATAGATGGGTTTGAGACTAGGTATGGTAATGGGGCGGAGACCCCAATCCCCCATCTTTGTCCCCATTCCCACAGGAGAATTTGGTCTCATCCCCATCCATGTCTCCAACGAGGAACGGGGATCTCCAACGGGAATTGTGTAAGCTTTTTTTTTTTAAATAAAATGTGTGAGACGCTACAATCGTTGAAATCTCACATTTTTCCAATAAACCTAAAATCAAAAGAAATTTAATTTAGTACAAAAAAATATACATCATCATATAATAATTAATAAATCGAAAACCAAAAGAAATTAAGGTGACGTTTGTTTTTTAAGAGGTGCTGAAGTCTGATTTCACTTATGTTTTTTAAGGGGTGGTGCTGAAGTCATAGACGAACCTACTAAGGTGCTATGGGTGGCACGTGCCACCGTATCGTTTCTCCGCCGAAGGGTAAAGACTTTAGGTTTCTTGAATGGTGCAACCATATTAATTTGTTGTGTGCCACCGTATGTATTTTGAAACTACAATGAGAACAAGTTTTATTTGGTAAAATTGGTTTGCAAGGCTTTTATTCCACCCCACACCCAAGTCCGAATTATGTTAGTGTCATTTTCTTAGTCAAACGGTGCCACCGTTTGAAAAAAAATTCCTATATTTTTTTTTCTTATGGTCAAATGGTGCCACCGTATAAATTTTTTTTGGGTCTGTCCCTGGCTGAAGTCTGAATCAGTCAAACTGTTTGTTTTTACGTCTGAATCAGTCATATTGATTATAGCAATGTCTGTTTCAACATGGATTTGTATTTTTTTTTTCTTTCAAGGTTTTAGTCAAATAACAAAAAAAAAAAAATTCAGAGTTTTCCTTATAGTGGGTGGAGTTGAAATTAGTTGTATTATGGAATATGAATCTAACCTGTTGATTACAATTTTATCATGAGATTCGTGGAAGAGGAGATTGGGATATCAACAAGAGATGGTGATCTTCATCGTCGCCTTCAGATTTTGATTATGTATTGTGTATGTCGTGAGAAGAATCGTGGATCATTGTAAGATGGGCCACCGTCAAGAAATAGTTGATTTAAGAGGTATTAAGTGACAGATTTATCACTTAAAAATTTAAAGGAAGGAAACATAATTTAAGCTCTTATTTTGAAGGAAAAAAAACAAACGGTCTGAAAAAGAAAATGTCTAAACGATTCAGACTTAAGAAGTTATTAAGAGAAAATTTCAAAATAACAAACAGCGCCTAAGTTTTACAAAATAAGAACAGAAATAAATTATGTTTTAATTTGATACAACTTGTCCTATAAATTATTATAAGTTTTATGATAATATTTATAATAATAATAATATATTTACGAAAGTGAAAGTAAGTTGGCCGACGGGAAATGCCAAAACGGCATGACGGAGGAAACAAAGACGTGACATCAAGTAAAACGTGCTAACAACCCCCAAAGAAAGGAACGACAAGTACGAGGTTCAACATTTGTGTTTTCACGTTTTTTGACTTAAATTACTGGATAACAACATCACATATAATTTTTAAATGTGTCGGTAAACCAAAAACACATAAAGAGGGTTATCAAACTACTAAATGAAATGAAGTTCATTTATACTCAAAATACCGTGAGACGATAAATGACCATCATACCACTCGATTCAAACTGCCAAATTAAATGAGGATCAAAACTGGTTCAATAAGTACAAATTTGGTATAATTGAAAAGGTCTTCAGAGAAATCAACACTCTATATAAATACATTAAAACAGTATTTTTATGCGTTTCGATGATTACATACAATAAAAAA